ATCACGTATTAAACGAGGCATGACCCCGTAGGTCTAAGGTCTATAACTAATGTGATTAGAATCCAGTGTAAATATGGGCTTTCATTATTATTTGTTTAATTGTCATATTTCGTTTGGTTTTTACTTAATAAGTAATATGTTTTTATATATATACCACGATATGAAATATTCAGTTGGACAAATAGCAAATATCTAATAAAAACAAAGGGCATGGCATTTATAAAATTTGAATCATGATTCAATTAAAAAATATATACATATATAGACAGCCTATTCTCACGTCAGAGTTTAATCGAATTGGTCTACACCATTCTAAACTACGTGACGTCATTCACAGTATAATGAATCATTTGTCATATTATTGTATGCCACTGAAATGTACACTATAGCGGACTGGTTATGGCTGAATCAGCACATTTCACACTTTAGTTAATCCAACAGATGACGGCACGCTATATACGACTGTTTCAAATCACCGTGTAACACATGGTGAAAAGGGCAGTAACAATCGTCACTAATATTAAATATATTACAATGACGTCCGGTTTTTATTCGCTCGCATCATGTGAGAAACTCAGGATTTCAATCACAAATGGTCATACCACCACGCTGTCATGGTGTATTAACTTTCTAAGCTCTGTTCGGAATGGTGTCACACTACTCCGTCTGAGTTCGTTGGTGGTATGTTATACCGTGGGGGGGCATGCCAACGGGAATTTCTGCTTACACAGCGCTTCGTTCGACCACGTGTTTCATGAACTGCCACGGTGGACCGGCGGGTTCATGATGTGTTTGATGACAATCAGCCAAATTCAATTATCATTATCGTATATTATCGTACATAAACCCCCCAATAACAAATTGAAGTTTTGTCATATATATGGGACAATTTATATATAGGTATTTCTCTCTCGTCTAGGATATGTCACGGTTTTCACTCAGTATACATGACACCTTACATTCCCCCAGATGGAAATATAGTAAATAATGACTATCTCCAGATAGTGTTAATAAAATAAAATCAGAATTGATATACTTTCTAGGCCAGTATAACGATCAGGTAAATTCGTGGTGTAATCAGTGAAAGCATGTGATATTTATTGAAATCATGTAAATACATGTTGCTGTTATTATTAATCCCACGTCTTCTCTCGCTGTCACACTGCTCGACATCTGTTACTCAGTGCGTTGACATATGTTTCTGCAGTGGCTTACATTATGCATTATAGACCCTAGACAGATACTAGGGTTCATGCTTACATTGAACGTGTTTATACGGGGTGGACAGAATAACAGAGATGCGAGGATTACCGACGGAGTGGTATTCAAAGATAACGCAGATTAAAGGGCGGTGGTCGTCGTGTCGCGCCCTGTTCGATATGGTACTCATAGCGACGTATACAACGCGTGCAAAATACATTGTTTCCATGAAATTCAAACAAGCACTGCGCGACGACCACCACAATATGTGGGTCAATGTGACAGTGACTGGGGTTGTAACGAGCCTACGAGGGTATAGATTTCCCTCCCTGTATTAAATGGTAAATACCACCTTTGTCAGAATAACCTGATAACATACAAAGCAGATGGAATTCAAGTTGTATTGTTCACGTTTCAGTAGTGGTGAGAGCGCCTCAATTCATATACGATGCTTGTGTTGAGTCCTTTGCATATTTATGCGATATATTCGTGTATTTGTTCGTTTCATAGATATCATGAAGTTGCATACTAGTATATGTTTATTGTATTACGATTGTTTTCGCAACAACCTAAAATAAATAAAAACGTCGTGATCAGTTGGAGCTTGATGCAATTCACTATGGTACACATTGACCTCCACATTACAAAAATATTAAAATTTATGTAGAGGTAAATAAACAAAGATTAAAATTTGCATAATGTCATAAACACCACATAAATTACAGTTACCGATAAGTGTCGTGTTACACAATAGCATGGGGATATATGATACCAGTAATTTGAAAATGGGTGGTGGGCAAAGAAAAAGACAAATATAAGTTTTGTATTTATTCTTTATTTAAAATTCATTTATAAGGTATTTCAACTCTCTGTGCAAAAGCACAAATGGATATACGAGCCAAGAGAATAAACACGTACTCATAGGGTACAGAATAAATTGTGTAATTTACCTTACACAATACTATCTACCGAATATCCAATGTAGTAACACGTTTATACGACTCTAGCTAAGATCGACCAAGAATGACTTTAAGTAAAACGAATAATTTCGTTTACACACACGAAATCGTCTCAATAAATTGTAATTGAATATTTGTTAAATTAAAAATAAATCACGAGAATTATTTTTGTAAAAGGTGACAAAATTATGCAACATACACTCAGAGTTATAAAATCAGGGTATTTCGGTCAAGGAATCATTTGCCAGCGCTATACGTTCTGTCCTATTACTGTTAACGAAACAGCAACATAGCCAACAGTATTTCAATATAGCTCGCTGTTTTGCTTACAAAGAACAATATCATTTCATCTATCAACATAGTTATTCTGTTTGCACAATTATATTGCAATGCTACCGGTTGGGTAGTAACCCTAGTTCCGAGCATTGCTAAAAACAAAATTTTACAATATTTTTCTTTAAATAATGTTTAACTAAAGTATGACATATAAAGCTATGTAAACATGTAAATGAAAAAAATTAACAAGCAATGAACTGTGACCTCTGACCTTAACAGGCGATTCCATTATAGCGAAATCAAAACGCACCTGTTCATCACGATATCTGACAATTATTGCAAACACAATTATAAATCTGTGTTTTGGACTTGACACGTGACAGTAAACCACGTGGTAAAATTGATGATAGACAAAGAACTATGACGTATGACCAGATCATAATGTAGTCGACTGAGACAGTGGTACACATACAACACAATGAAAAATACAAAAATATAACCGAATAAAATAAACTTGAATACTGGTTCATGTGGTGTTTTTTTTTAAATACCATAGACATATTATTGAACAAGGAATACAGTCTAAATATACCACGCTTATGCACATACTGGTAAATGGATCAATTAGCAATGATTTAATCAAATATCATAGATTAATATAATCAAACTCTTGCACAAATATACTTAATCCTGAGACTCCGCCTTGTTTGCGAGCACAAATGAGCAATTTGAAATCACGATTTCACAAAAGGGCAATATATATATTAGTAAAAATGTTATCGGCCCACTAAAACTTTGAAAGACTAAATATACGAATATAATATTATACTTATTTGAGTTAACGCCACCCTGAGTTATAAAATGAGGTGATAAAGACTTCCAGTGTGGGTGACGAGTTCTCTCATTCTCCCGCAGCTAGACCAGTATTTCTATATTTTCAAAATTGCCCCCCACGGTTACCGAGTCACGGGGCGTTTATCTGAGCTCTCATCTGCACCGAAGGCCGAGTCTTTGGTGGAAACAATCAGACGTATTATCCCAAGCAACAGGAATTATTACAAGGCGCACTTATGTAATATATTTAATGGCAGTCATTTTTTTCAGATATAAAGATAATTTTCCCCCGTAGTCTGTGCTACACAAATATATTAAGTGACCTTTGGCTTGAGAAAGAGTTTTTTTTTAATAAATCAACAGCGCATCACAAACAACTGATTGCGCGGATGCACATGGTTGTTTTTGATTTTTTTTAATAATAAACAAAGAAAATAACGAACATGAGATGTACATGTTCATATAGTGGTGACGTGAGCTTCTATCAAGTACATTTCGCCGGAGTCGTCGGTGAGCATGGACACATCGGTAGAGCTCGTTGTCACGGCCAAGGATTTGGGGTTCCAGTGTTTCCGCTTCTGAACAAAAGGAATAATTATAAGCAGGACAGCACCCAGGGCGCAAAGACCGCCTCCTATGTAGAACGCCAATGTGAAACTCCTTGTCAGATCATAGGTTGTACCTAGGTCGATAAAAACGATTTAATAGTTGGATGAATGCAATACTTGGCACAATATAACAGCTAAAATAATATGTAGCAATTGATAAAGTTCATTAGTCTACTTTCCAAATCTAGCTGTTTGTCTGGACTAGGCAGATTAAAGACTAGGACTTACCTGCTATTGATGGACCGACCATGATTCCGAATCCAGCGGCTACCAGAGTTACTGTCCACGCTTCTGCTAAAAGTTCCATGCCGAATATATCCATACAGGCTTTAAATAACATGGAGTTTACAATGCCCATAACCAACCCGAACCCTGGAGTATAAAAATGCAAATGTAGTTGGGTAAATTTGTATATGGTTATAGGGGAGGGGATTTTGGACATGATTGTAAATGGCCGCTATCCATATTTGTTGGAAGAGAAAGTGGTAACTCAGAATAATGACTTACCTGATGCGAAAATTACCATTCCAACGAAAGACGAAATGAAGAGCAAGCTAAAGATGCCGAGCGCCATCACCGCCGTTGAGAGAGGATATATGTAGACCACGTGAAACGGCAGTCGATCTCCGAATAAGGCAGAACCAGTACGACCAATCAAATCGGTTATTCCCATTGCAGTAAGTACCAATGCACCACGTGACTCGGGAATTCCAATAGTTGTCATAAATTTTACCTGTGAATGTAATATAAACAAATTAGTTAATAAGGCAGACATAGGGGGTATGAGCTATTTATGCATGTGTCCGGGGATGTTCTGCCGAATAGGGCCTTGTTTAGGAGTCTAAAATTTCTGCATATATTAGGTCTATTGTTGAAAATTGCCTTCTTAAATTCTAAAACCCGTTTCTTGATCTTGACTGAAAATATACAAAACACGTCTGCTAGAAAGGTGAAAATCATAGCACAACATTTATTCTAAATGTAAAGAACCATAGTCTGCCAAGGATGTACATTTATTGTATCCCCCCCCCCAAAAAAAAAGGTATGTCGCATTTCGCATTTTGAGCTATATGGAGAGAGCTAAGAATCTTGAGGTTCTGGTGGCACACCGATACCAATTTTCCATGCTAGTACCTTTCCAGGGGACCGACAAAATGAAGGAATCCATTAAAGGGCGGTGGTCGTCGCGCAGCGCATGTTCGAATTTCACGTAAACAAACAATGTATTTTACACGCGTTGTGTACGTCGCTATAAGTCCATATACAACAGGACGCGGCGCGACGACCGCCACCCTTTAATGTTGAAGATTGGTCGTGTTGATGCAGTTGTTGATGAGCCCGGAGATATACTCCTCGGTCACCTAGAGACCAAACGAAACACTAATATAGACGTCAGCAACGATGAACTCTTGACCGTTTAAGGTAGATTTGCCGAGTAAGAGCAATATATAAACTCTTTCAACATGCTTGAGTGACAACAGCAAGTATGGCGTGATCGAAGTTACGCTTTAATTGCACCAATCAAGCAAAGAATCAGCACTGTCATGAAGTTCAAGACATCACGGAGGTGAAGTTTAATCAGAGATGGGAAGGGATCTAGTTTTTAACCGAAAATTGTACACATCTATGAACTCTAACGTCAAAAATATGTGCTGAGTGTACTTTGGATTATTGGTATGAGTCAAGTACTTCGCGTCTATCTAAAAAAATACTAGTTGATGAAAAACAATGGTACCGAACGAACATCTACTTACGTTGCTATGGGATTTAATAGAATGTCATCCTTAAAATCCCCCCTATCTCCCGCCGACTGTCTGACTAAACATAAACTATCTGTATGAAATGTAGGCGTAAAGAAATCAATCTTTAAAACAATTTATTTTTCACTGGAATTTAATTTTATTGTTTTGAGCTATTTCATTCGGGTTTAAGTTCATGAACTTGGCAAGGAAACAATGAGTTTCACACACGTGGAATTAATTTTAATTTTTACTCATCATTGAAATTAGCGAAATATAAACCAGTACATTAGTGTTGTTCTGATTTAGTAGCCTTCGGGATTTAGGTGCACCAACTGATAATTAAAACGGAAAAGGGGTGTGTAATCATGATCATTACTGCTAAAATTCAACTTGCATACAGTCTTTTGTTTGTTTATTGGTGGTTTATGGTGAAACTGGCCGGGTTGCCGCGAAAGCAGGGTGAGCGCGAAGTCTTGTTTGTTTCGTGATAACCGGGCTTTCGAAATTTATACACTCATATAATATTTATTATTTTATTGAAAAAACAAACAAACAAGAGACTGTAATGCAAGTCTACTAAAACAGTTCCCGTTTAAAGGTCGTTCGACAATCGTGTGTGGAGAAAGAACATTTTCAAAAAAACACCGCATGCCAGTGACAGCGTCCCATTCGTATTCGGCATCGACTACAGAGTTCTGTTTATGGACTGTCGTCCCCTACCTACAGTATATTTTGACTCACTCGTCACGTTTTAAAATATTGTTTTAAACATTAACACACGGAGTCGGTATTTATGTTTCATGCCAGGCATAGTCTAGCAGAAATTCTCAACTCAAATTTAGCGCACTGATCTATGGGGCTAAAAAACAAGCAGCCTCTCGGCTGAGATGCATTGCACGTTTCAAATAAAGTACTGTAGATATCATCATGAAATGAACAAATCCTAGAGAGGTCTATCTGAGATACCTACATGTATAACATTAAAGCAATCGGACTTGTGGTTTCCAACAAGAATTCGAAAATATCATTTTTTACTAAAAATGACAAAAATATTCATCAAAATTAGGGAATTGAAGATATCCAGACGAAATGAACAACTCTGAGCGAAGTCTTCCTGTAGTACCTATATGTATAATATCAAAGCAATCAGACTTTACGGTTTTTAACAAGAAGTCGAAAACATAATTTTTACCAAAAATTACAAAAATATTCATCAAAATTAGAGAATTAAAGATATCAGCACGAAATGAACAAATCTGAGAGAGGTCTACCTGGGGTACATATACACCAAGTATCAAAGCAATAAGAATTGAAGTTTTCAAGAAAGAAGTCTAAAAAGTAAAAAGTTGACATGGAAGACGGACGACACCGGACAAAGTCGACAGCGGAGCTAAAAATGGAGACAAAATGGTGTGAACAGTGTTTTGCTAGAAGTCTAATCTCACAGAAAACGTACGTATCAGATCAACATTACTGAGAGAAATAGTTAACAATGTACAATATTATCGGGCTTTAAACGATATCAGTACAGCACATACTTCAATATGTCACAGTGATATATTTATCCTAGTGAGAATCATGAAAAACAATGGTCATACTTTTGCACGTTGGCCGAAACGTCACAAACACCTGGTGTATTCCAACCAACGCAGAGGGTTGCTGCAATACTATCTGCTAGATTGTAACAGACAAGTACAGTCGCATGTTACATCCGTCAACTTACCATATTTATAAAAGGAAATATCAGTGATAAGTTCAAAAGTACGTTTCCAATAAACCAAAGTATAATTCCCGGGGCTTGAAAAGTCTTCTTGAATGTCTTCAAATAAACAAGTACTGTCTGCTTCTGTTCAGTCCTTGAAGCATGTTCAGCTTGCTTTTTCCTTTCGAGATTCGCCTCGACACTTTTCCAGTGCCTCTCGACAGGCGCGGGAGCGAATGTTACCACACACGATATTCCGATGACGAACATAAGTCCACTGAGTATACGGAAAGTATTCCGCCATCCTACGGATTCGCACAGAGCTTCGACACTGGGATTTAAAGCTAATGACCCTAAATAACAAAAGAAATAAAAAACATGCTTTGGTCATGTTGTCTCATTGGTAAAATATATATACTAACCATGAAGCTAGTCATGAGGGGTTAATTTTCATGATTGGAAAAGTATAAACATCGTATTTTTTACTCCGTGCATTTTGAAACGTAGCCATTGTAATTCACTTCTGCTTGTACATGTATTTTATTCTAAAATAGTATGGTATGGCAGGTAATGCTTTCTAACTAGCGCTACCCTTTTTTCCAACTTTGAGTTTTGTTTGAATATAATCGTTTGTTATCACAAGCTCATGTGCTATTGTAGAATAAACATACGGTATTCATTCGATTAAATAATAAAAATAAAAGCGAACTCCAATTTTGAATTACCAAACGTAAAGCTAAATCCGAGGCACTAGCCTGATTTATTATTTCATTGAACGAACTTGAATGCTACTGCATTTACTGCCGGAAAAAAAGAAACGTTTATTCGACGACAGGTCATAGCCT